TTCTTTTAAAAAGGCAGTAGAAAAGGGAGCCAGAATGGGAAAAACATAGTTTGGCTGATGAGGCAGGCAAGCCAAACCTCATGCTTTGTAAGGAACGAGAAAAAGGCCGCTTTTTACATTAATGCTCAGATGAAGGACCAACCGCACACAGGGGGCAACCAAACATCTCACCTTCTTAGAAAATGAATGAATATGCAAGGCGCTGAGTTGTCGCCTGATCTGAACTTGCTCTGGTTCCTGTCCGGTGTCACCACAGTGAGTGAGGCTGTGTCCGAGGACAGGCCTGCAAACATCCTGCAACCGCAACACAAACCCACTAAGTCAGACCTTTGAGCTGGGTAATGGCTGTTGTGCGCTCTACATAGAAGTGATGTGACAGGACTGGTTGCTGTGAAGGGCATCAAGGCTCTTTCTAGCACCGCCCTGCCACCCAAAATGTGGGCCGGCGAGCCGAGTGTCCTGTGTTGCCTCTGTTGGTGGTCCCTGGTGTAAGCTATATTTTCCCCTCACTTCTCTCTCTCTTTTTTTTATAGCTAACACAAAATTGTTCCTAATTCGCTGCTGCTAGAGGGGGGTAATTTGTGGCTTTTGGCTGAGTGTCGCAAGCCCCAAATTTGAAAAAGCTGCGGAGTTGAAGGCGTTCTGTGAAACGCGGTAGGAAGGGAGAGGGCCTTAATTTAATCAGTGCAAGAGGAAAACACCAAAACATGATAAGCTTCAAACGGCAGAAGACTGCAGTGCAGCGATAACTGTTGGGTAATGTAAGCCCCCGGTAATTATGACTCTTCTAATGGAATGATTTGCAGTAATGTCTCTTCTGTTCCAAGACGATTTCTGTTTAGCCTCTGAAAACACTCCTGTTCTAATCAGCTCGGCCAAAAGTCACTGAGATTTCGTCTGTTTAGTTTCTAAGTCTGTTCGCAATGCTGTTTATTTTGGCACCTGATTTTGATTTAGTTGTAGTCTTTTGTTTGTTTATCATTAGATTTTTGTCAGATTCAGTCACAAAACTAAAGAGTTTTTTGTCAGTGATGTATTAGTCTTGTTCTAATTTTTTATATTTAAGCATTTTGAGGTTCCAGATGTCTCCTTTTTGGTTTTTGTTACCATGGTAACTGGTGTTTATTTCAGTGTTGCCAGGTGTAGGATGTTTATTGTATTTGCTCAATAATTTGGAACTTTGTGCGATCAAAGACTGTGCAAAACCTCAGTGTGCGATCATTTCCTCTTTCCTCTACAGTAATATCACAGTTTTGTCCATGAGTGAAATGGTACGGACCTGATTTGAAGCCTGCCTGATTTTCCACATTAACATGTCGATTATGTAGCTTATCGTGGAAATCTGACCTTGGATCTGCTAGTATTGATCCAATCAGCCGGTCTCCCCCTGCAGTGAGCTCGTGGATGTGCCGTGAGCATCAGCACCGACAGTCGAGCAGTCGCTGCGATTCATATATGTTAAAACTCCCTTTAGGGGCAACACAGTGTATGATCGTTTCCCCTGAAATACAATCAATACACGGGGCCCTGAGGAGTGATCATTCATTGTGATTAACAGGGCCTTTGGTAGTTCACGCTCCTCGGGGGGAAAAGCCCACATGGATGTTTTTCTTTATTTATCTCACATGGTTTTTCACTTCCACAACTGCACATCATTACCCGAGTGTTTAAACAGTTAAGAACAGTTAAGAACAGTTGAGAAGCAGAGAGAGGAGGAGGAGGAGGAGTAATGAACAGTTCTACATTAACTCTGTGTCACTCGAGGGAGCTGTAAAGGCCTCCCCTTAGGGGAAATGATGTCAATAAATAAATATGGCTGTTGTCAGATGTCTGGAGCAGCCTGAGAGGGTTTCACCATCAGGCAGCCCACCATGTCCAAATGAAGGCTGATAAGTTTGGGTGTCTACACAGAGTTCGACACTACAACTAGCTGAGTGCCTTCGGCTAATGAGGGCGGGTTGGCTGCATGATATATTCAACAAGGAGAGGAGCATTTGGTCTGCAGCAAACCACAGTCTGTTGAAAGTCCCAGTGCCTCCTCAGCTGTGGGTGGAGAAAACACCATCATAACACAGAGGAGGTTTATTATTTTATGCAGATCCCACATGAGCTGCCTCTGATAACAATGCTGCTCCCCCAGAGGCCTGTGTTCACAGCAGTCGATCACAGCAGCGGCGACGTCAAACAGCAGAAAGAGGCAGGCGCAGTCCGTGCACTGAACACGCCTGCTGCATTTCATGACCCCTCTGGATTAAAATATTTCCCTAAACTTTGTTTGCTCAGATGTGACTGCAGCTCCTCCTCCGCAGGTCGGCCCTAAGGGAACGCCAGCAACTATAAAACATGGGGGAAAGCAGTAGCAGCTGGATGAGTGTTTTTCCAAGTTAAAGTAATTGATCAGTGAGAGTCCAGAGAGCCCTAAAGAGGAGGAGGTGGTGGAGGGGGGGCTCAGAGGAAGCTGCAGGTGTGGGGAAGAGAAAACACAATCACAGCTCAAGTCAAACAAATGCGTCTCGGCTGATGGAGATGGATAGAGGGTCAGCATTCCAGTCCAGGCTGGAGATCCCCGCCGCTCAGCCGCAGGGCCTTGTCTCACCCGCTGCTGCCTCTGGACCAAACATCTGGACAGACAGAGGGAACAGAAGGAACAAAGGCCATTTTTTGTGTTGCACTTTTCATGCACAGTAAGTGGCTTTTGTCCAGTTTTTATGTGCATCTTCAGTTTGTGCATAAAAAAAACCTGAGTGGAAAAAATGTTGAAACATTGCAAAAAAGTTTTTATGCTCAGCTGAGGCAGAAAAGTGGTGTATTGAAAAAGTGCAGTGGAAACAGAATTAGTGAATTAACCACGGTGTGTATGAATCAGGACTTAGGCAGCGCTCATGCACTTTCACTGTGCGTGAAAAGACGCAGCCCTGCTCATTCATGTAAATGAGCAAAGTGCGTTTACGCAGCAGGAGCTGGCGCCTCAGGGGCTTCACAGAAAACAGCTGAATCTGGTTCAACTTTATCTGTTATATGATGTCATCCAGAAAGGTGCTGTGTGGGCCAATCACATACATGGGAGCGTGGTCTCCTGGTGGATTAGGCTGTAACATGAACGTGTATTTCTGCTGTTTACAACCAAAGATAAAGCAGCGATAACGGTTCAGGGACGTACAAACCTGTCTGTGAATGTTACAGACAATAGTGCTGTGTTCTGGAGCCTAATAAGCTTTAAACACATAAATCTGTTCCTCCAGCTGGACGTCCTGGATCGTATTTGATTGTCTCAGCGGTGCATGAAACAACACACCCCCACCAACACAGCCTCTGGTGTTTTTTCACACAGGGCAAATATCTGTGTGAATCCAACCTTAACGTCACTGAGGAGATGAAAAACAGCAGCAGACCAAAACAGATGTGTGTGGAGCAGTGAGGAGGCTGTGGCCTTCCTCACATCATACATGAAACTAACACCACAGACCCATCAGGGTTCCTACATGTTTTCACAGTTTGAAGTTTGGCCGGAGCTCTTTAAATTTTAAAGAGGCACCCCCAGGCACTGCACCTCAGAGGACTCCTCCGTTAGACTCCTGAAGTTCACAGACGACACAACAGTGATCGGTCTCATCCGAGCCGGTGACGGATCAGCCTACAGACGGGGGGTTGAACACAAGGTCCTGTGGTGTGTCCGCAACAACCTGGAACTGAATATGCTCAAGAGCACTGTATCAGTCCTACAAGTTCCTGGGCTCCACCATCTCCCAGGACCTGAAGTGGACGTCCAACATCAGGACCATCACCAAGAAGGCACAGCAGAGGATGTACTTCCTGCTCCAGCTCAGGAAGTTCGACCTGCCCCAGGAGCTGCTGATCCAGTTCTACAGAGGAATCATCCAGTCTGTTCTCTGCACCTTCATCACTGTCTGGTTTGGCTCAGCAACCAAACAGGACAAGTACAGACTTCAGCGGACAGTCAGGACTGCAGAAAAGGTCATTGGTGTGAGCCTGCCCTCCATGGAGGACCTGTACACCTCACAGGTCAAAAGGAGGGCGGAGAGGATCACTGCTGACCCCTCACACCCTGGACACAATCTGTTTGAACTCCTCCCCTCTGGACGGCGTTACAGGTCACTGTGCACTAAGACAACCAGGCACAGGGACAGTTTCTTCCCCCAGGCTGTCGCTCTGATGGACACCTAACTGTGACTGAAGCAACAGAACTCGGCAACTAGTGCAGTAATTATAACTAGTACCACTACATGCACCATATGACAGCTTGAGATGTGCATATATGTATATAATGTTTGTGAACACTGCCTCCCCTCCTCCTACCTTTTGATTGCACTATTCTATTGTCTGTTGCCTAAAACACTGAGAGCCTCTGTGCCGGAGACAAATTCCTTGTACTTGGCGATTAAAGCTGATTCTGATTTAACCACCTCGTCTTCTTCTGCAGCAGCTAATCTCAATGAACCAACTTCTGATATAACAGTCGTGGGCGGAAACATGCATTTGTTTTCATGTTCTCTGGCAGATTTTCTTGAAATGTGGTTGAAATGTGTACAAAATTCAGTGGTAGTTCAAGTTGAACATCAGCATAAACATGATCAGCAAGTGAAAACCAAATTAGCACATGTGCGACATTTAAAAAGAGGAGTGGAGGAGAGCTGAACTGGGGTCAGCAGAGGAGTGAGGGCTGTTAACCCAACAGGACTCCCACCTCCTCCCTCCTCCTGTGAGCTCGTGTTGGTGGAGGAAAGTTCACATCCTCCTTGTGCCTGCTCTCTATTTCTCTTCATTTTCTTCTGCTTCACCTCTTTCCAACATTTTTCCAACATGGTCCAAGCAGCTAAAGGTCAGAGGCTGCAGTAAATGGGGCATCACTCGGTCTAATCCTGCAGCCAGCGCTGCTGCTCCTCTCTCCAGACTTCCTTCACAGAGCAGAAGCATTAAGCCGACTCAAAACTTGACTCACTTATTTTTTTTTTGGCCTCTCTCTTTGTGTTTTTTGCCAGGAATCCTATAAAAGCCTGCTCTGCTCTTGTTTTCTCTGCAAGTCGAGGGATGAGCTGGAGCTCATAAAGCAAACCGAGGGCGCGCTGAGGTCCTGGGCTCTGTAAAAAAGCTGTGGCTGCAGTGGTACCGATGGTGGAGAGGAACATGGACTCACACACACACACACACACACACACACACACGCACTACACCTCGGGAGGGTTTGGTGCTTGTGAGCGATGCACGGCCTGAGGACACGCTCTGTGAATTTCCCTCCCGTGTGCCTGAGCTCATAAAAAGAACAAATAAAAACCACACACATGACAGGTGCCAACATCAGTAATGTGAAAACGAGGATGATGAAATACGATCATGCCGCTCGCTGGTTATTTCCTTTTTATCTTTTCCAAATGTGTGTTTTTGAGTTTGTGCTTGTCAGAATATCTACATGAGTTAATGCAGGGTTGGAAGTATTTAAGTAAAATAAAATGTTATTCTAGTGAAGTAAACTGCTCCTCAGCACTGAACATATAAAGACAGGCCACAGTGTTACAGTCTTATATCAGCAGCTTATCAGTCCTGTGTGTGTGGACACTGACACAGCAGCTGCTTTTTATACACTGGTGCTGTCAGTGTTTTGGTTCTTTGGTTAAGTTTGGATTCATGGTTCAACCACTTCACCAATTTATCCAGTACTTTTAGCTACTTACTTCAAAGACGTATCCCCTTGTAACGAACTCATTCACCCAGTTGTCCATGTTTCACCATATACTTTGTTTTATTTGTTTACTTAAACCATTTGTCCACCTGAAGCTATTTCTGCAGCGACTTCAGCCACATCTATTGTAACTAACAATTTCATTCACTGTAGTTGTTTATTTAAACTATTTATTCACTACTTTTAGCTTTTCCACTATTTTACATACATATTATATGAAATAATAAGCTAACAGTTAACATCTTTGTTCACTTGCTCATTAGTTTTAGTGTTCAGGTGTTACAACTAACTTCATATGTGGACTTTCTATTGTTATTTATTGTACTTTTTAATGTGTTGAAATGCTATTGTTGAGCAGTCTTTCCACTCCCGGTGAGGGCTAAAGTTCCTCCCCTGATCCAAGGATCCCTAGTTTGGAGTCATTTTTAAAAAACTCACCATATGTGCTATATGTCGTCTTAATCTGAAAAGCAAGCAGCTGTCAAATCAATGGAGTAGAGAAAAATGATATAGTAGAAGTAGAGAGCAGAAGCATAACGTAGCACGAAATGGAAATATTCAAGTACCAAATAAGTTAAAGTTGTACTTAATGAGTACTAGAGAAGCGTATTTAGTTATCAACCACCACAAGCATGCGTGTCTGTGTGTGTTTTTACTGCTGATGGCACAGTGGAAGATTTATTTGAACAGATGTGAACCTTCAGTGCCAGGGTGACCTCAGGTCCTACTTGGCCACACTACAGCTGATCTCTTCTCCGCCCTGGAAAAATAACACTCAGTTTAACAGACTGACCTGTGGGAGAGAAACTGTGCACAAAGTGTATTAAGCTCAGGAATAAGTCTACGCTTCCTTTCACAGAGTAAATGAGTCTCAGTATAACCTTATCAGAGCACGGCTTACTGCAATATGGAGCACACAGAGTATGTCAGGTTGTCTTGTGTAAAATGTCTCGGGTACAGTAAGCAGGCTGTACAGTAAAACCAGAAGTTATACTCCTTTCAAATCAGATATATGGCAGTGGATTTATATCCCCGTGGACTGAAAATGGAGGCTTTTATACCAAATGCACTGCACATTAATAGGGCCGAGCAAGAGTTAGGGGAGTGCAGAGGTTGTCGACATGAGCCATAAAGGAGGTGGATTTATGTGCTGGAGTGATACAGGCAAGGGGTCAGAGGCAGAGTGAAGTGAGGAGGGTCGACAGGGATGAAGAGACGGCAATGTTTGGAGAAAGGACAAGAGAGAGCAATGCTAATTTATACCTCGCTAATTGGAAACAGCAGAGCTCTGCACCTGAACTGCATTCTCAGCCCTGTAGCCAGCGCCGAGGCGATGTGGGAGGGTGATGAGGGCCGGGGGGATGGAGAGATGGGATGGAGGTGAGGGTCAGTGTCAATAGCAGCCTTGTTGTTTCTGTCCCTACAGACAGGACAGTGTCTGGTGTGTATGCACGTGGACATGCAAAGGTCTCAGGTCTTGATGTGCGTGTGTGAGCAGAATTATTGAGTATGTTTGAGATTTCCTGGGGGTCATGTTGTTGTGACAGTCTCACACATACACACCAGGCTGGAGCCAGGACCACCCTGCCTCAGCAGGGAGAGACCAAGGAAGGGGGGGAAACTCAGCTCAACGTGTCATGGTTTCAGACTGACACGACCTAACATACTGCATTTAAGCAGGCTTGGCTTCCTACTTAAATAAATATGACAGCCTCCTCACATAATTATCATGCTGTGACCATGTTGAGTCATAGCATCCGCTAATTATTCGATGGGCTGTGTGACCACGTGGATTCGTTTTTCATATCCCCGCAGTTTGTGAGTTTCTGATGTGTAATATTTCAGTTGGTGGTGTATTCAGATGTTGGCTGTGACCGGGGTCTGGCATTCTGCTAAAAGTGAAGTAATCTTGGAATTTAGATTGAAAAAGCATTGGCGTTGCTTGATATACTGTATCTGCAGGATCTGTTTGCACTGCTAAGCTACCAGCCATTAGGCCAGTGACAGGGAAGCTGTGCCACAGCTGCCATACGAGGAAACACTGTGGAGTGTAGGTCAGCTAACCTGAACAAAATAGAAGCTGCATTTAAAAAAATTAACTAACTAGTGAGTGAATGAATGAATAACTTATTAAATGGCATCTACATAGGCCCTGCATACTACCACCTGAAGTCTACACAAGTGTTTGAAAGCCAGTCAAAATAGTTAGCTAAGTTAAAAGTATTTGATAAATGGTTGAAATAGTTAGCTAAACTAAAAGTCAAGGGTTAAAATATTCATAATTGGCTAAAAGTAATGGATTACTGTTTAATAACTGGCTAAAAGTAATGGATTACTGTTTAATAATTGGCTAAAAGTAATGGATTAACCATTAACACAGTTAGCTAAAAATGATTAATGGTGAAAACAGTAAAAAAAAAAGCTCCAGTTGTTAGCTAGTTGGATAGACATTTGATATGGTTAGCTAAAATAATAAATAAATAAAGGGTTGAAACAGTTAGCTAAGTAACCGAGAAGCCGTAGAAACACTTAACTAAAAATAATGGATAAGCAGTTAGCTAAAAGTAATGGATTACTGTTTAATAATTGGCTAAAAGTAATGGATTACTGTTTAATAACTGGCTAAAAGTAATGGATTACTGTTTAATAATTGGCTAAAAGTAATGGATTAACCATTAACACAGTTAGCTAAAAATGATTAATGGTGAAAACAGTAAAAAAAAAAGCTCCAGTTGTTAGCTAGTTGGATAGACATTTGATATGGTTAGCTAAAATAATAAATAAATAAAGGGTTGAAACAGTTAGCTAAGTAACCGAGAAGCCGTAGAAACACTTAACTAAAAATAATGGATAAGCAGTTAGCTAAAAGTAATGGATTACTGTTTAATAATTGGCTAAAAGTAATGGATTACTGTTTAATAATTGGCTAAAAGTAATGGATTACTGTTTAATAATTGGCTAAAAGTAATGGATTACTGTTTAATAATTGGCTAAAAGTAATGGATTACTGTTTAATAACTGGCTAAAAGTAATGGATTAACGGTGGAAACTGCCAAATTAAATGGCTAGTTTGATAAACAGTTCACATAAATGCCTGAAATGACAAAACAAATGGCTATATGGTTGAATTAGCTAAGTAATAGATAGTTAAATTAGTTAAATGTGAAAAGCCAAACAATTGATAAATAATTGAAATAGACAAGTTAATGTTGGCTAAAAGTAATGAACCGACAGTTGAACCAGTTAAAAGTGCTGGATTAATAGTTAAAACCCAGCTAACAATTATGAGTTAATGGTTAAAAATAGTTACGCTTGTTAAATAGATCAACTATAATCAGCTAGTTAGGGATAAAGTGTAATTGGAGAATAAAGCAGACAAATGATTGAAATAATTGACATTAGCTAAAAGTGATAAACAGCTGAAACATTCAGCTTCTGTACCCAAACTGACCAAATCACCTTATAGGCAAATGGCAACAGTATCCTCTGTTATATAATTCATATATAATTATATAGTTAATAGTTTTAACTAACGTCTGGTTGAAACTATAAAGAAAGGATGTGCAGTGATGTTGTTGAAGAGGGGAACAAAACAAGATGGGAGCCACAGATTTAGGGCCGATCTTCCTGATGATGTGTGGACCTTTGATTAATCAAGCCTGTCGACATTGTTGCCATGACAACAGGACACCTAGAGCAAAGAACAGATAAATAGATATGTGCACAAAAGCCAAATTTCTTCAAAAATAAGACTGGACTTGGACATATGGTGAGCATATTGGTGGCAGATCTCACACGTGAAGCGAATACAAGAAGATTTAGATGTGGTGGGGTCTGCTTTGGTTGCCTTTAAAGGCGTGTCAGTTGTCTGCTTAAGAGAAAAACCTCTTTTATACTTCATCACTCTTGTGATTGACATTTTGATAGTCTGTACACATGAATGAACGTGTGCAAGCCATTTGCAAATTATAGTACAAAGTCCTGTACTCTGTTCCACTGTAGTGGTTTGCAGGGAGACGTGTGTCCTGTGATACTGCTAGTATCTATTCTGAGGCCCGAGCTCGATGCACATCAAAGCCACCACAAGTGGCCTGTTTCTCTTACGATTTGTCCCTCACACACTCCCCTCTTGCTGGCCAGTGCACAAACCGTGCACAAACTAAAACACATTGGAGGAAGATTTATGGAAGGGATTCAAGGTATTCTTTGATCGTGGTTCATCTGACAGCAGATCTACTAAAACTAGTGTTCAGAAACGGCTGATTTAGTTTTTGACATTGAAGTCCTTCATTTCAACACTTGTTTCTTTTCTTTGACAGATTATTAGAGGGCGGCACGGTGATGAAGTGTTTAGCACTGTCACCTCACACCAGGAAGGTTCTGGGTTTGAACCTGCACAGGCGGTATGTCCAGGCGTAACAATGTCAGCTGGATGTGAGACGCTCAAGCTGTTGGTGCGATGTGCATGTGACAAGTAAGGTCACGTGACTGGACAAAGGTAGCTGAGCCAGCATGCTAGTAGCTAGTAGCTAGTAGCTAGTGCTGTGTTACAGGAGCCTACAGATGATAGAGCAACAGTGACACAGTTGGATGAGTTTCATTGAATTAAAGACTGAACAGGTAAATTCTTATTGATAATAAAGAATGGTTTCTGTGTGGTTTGCCAAAAATAGCAAAACCATCAGAGAATGTCGTTCTTTTTTATTTTTAATTAAACAGAATTAAAATCTGAT